TTTGCGCATGCTTTGGTCACTGTTATAGGCAGCTCGTATGTTGTTCACAGACTCAGCAATCAAAACTGCCTCTCTCTCCTGCATCTTCTAAACAGTTGCCTCAAAAGGCAGATTTTTATGATGTCTGAAAATGTAATCTCAGCCTCACAACTCAATGAAACTTTCACAATGTGAATATGGGGAACCCCCATCTCCCATTATCACTGCATTTCTTGTCCATGCAGATTTGGAATAGATGAATGAACCATTTCTTGTGGTTAATACACGGATTCAGCAAATGAGGTAATTTCATTTTAATTGATACCTCCACCAGTCACCCTCTTGCAGTAGTACTTGCTTAATCCTGTAAAAGTCTTTGAAAAATTTAGACTAGTGGGGACACTGACATGACTGTGCAGCCTTTGATTAGATATAATATACATGTGTTGTTACAAATTTTTTTCCCCAGTAAAATTGTTCAGTAAAACAGCAATGGATGAAAAAATATTTTGTCCATTAAATTCTCCAAATACAGCCTGGTAATGTAAGTGACTACCTGAGTTTTGTATTTGTTTACAGCAGATTAATCAGAGTGGGTTGGAAGCCTTTTTGTGTTGGTGAAATTTGGTATTAAAATTTTGAATTTGAATGAAAAATAATACTTTCAATCAGCTTTTTTTCATGTTGAGTAATAGAAATGACTGTATTCATATATTACAGTATCTAAGTTTTTCTACACATCTTATATTCATGTGTGTTGTGAACTGGCTAAATGAGGTTCAGTAATAGAACATATAAAAGCTTTCAGCAGGGCCTGGTTACTCAGCTTACATATACTAATTTAGTAACATCAGTTCCATGCTGCTATGCTAATTTACACCAGCTGAGGTTCTGGGCAGCAATCCTTTTATTGTGTCTTGACTTTTCTAGCATGTAGGTTAAGCAACATTTGATAACCATATGCTTAGTGTATTGTACTAGTAGAATAGGACTTAGAAGGTGGAGTGTGGGAAGAGTGGGAATAATTGCAAACGTGTATTGTTAGACTTTATTGACTTCAGAATGTGGCATAAATACAATATCAGCTTCTCTATAAAACAAGGCCCCCATGTGGAGTCAAGACATACGGTGAGATCCTGTAAAATAGTGGTAAAGAAGTAATTATGTGGATTTTATTAATTGTATTTTCTTCTAAGGTTGTATCTTAAAAATTTAGCAATCCCAAAGTAAACACTTAAAAATGCAAAGCCAGTATGTAAATGCACGTCTAATGTGTCAGACATCTGAAGCATGTTTGAGTCTTTATATTTTGATTCAGCATCCATGAACAGGCAGAAAGCTTTTCACCATTTATGCAAGAGGGGAAGACAAAAGAGCTTCTCTTAGGAACTCACCCCTTTTGTGCTAGTGCAATTGAAGGGAGCTGTAAAATAGTTACTGCTGATTATCTGATTATGCAAGAGCTACCTAGGTGGGTGAGTATTCAGAGAATTTCAGCTTCCTTTGGATAGTTTGGTGATTAGTGTGCATCCTCTTAGGAAATCTGGTAGGGAACAAGTCTGAATGATGGTCATCGGGGCAGAAAGCAACTAGAGAAACGAAAGCGGATGGAGAGCTGGGAGCATTCCAGTGGAAAACTCAACTGTATAAACAGTGTCGGGCGTCTGATTGCGTCGGTCTATTTTCATGTAGTTGTTTCATCTCTTGCATGTAAAAAAGGGTTCCTTTTTAAGTCTAAAAAACCTTACTTGCTTTTAGAACTGAATTACATCTTCTGAGTTAAAGGAGGGAGAAGTTATAGTACATTGGATATTATTTGTGTCTGCAAACTTCTTTCTGGAAGTTTCAAAGTCGTAGAGCCTGCTTGCAAAGCTCTAGGCTTTAGCAAACTCCCTTGTGGTGTGAAGCTGAAATGAGGAAATATAGTAACATACCACACAGTGTCCCTTGGGTTGTGGAAAATCACTTCTGTGCTACTTCTGGTTTAATTATTTATTATTTGTAAGCCAATTAGTGTTGTTTTTCTATATTTGGATTAGAGACAAGTCATCTAGCAAATCTTTTTTTCTCTGTAGGTGTGAACAAAATAGCTGTTACTAATGTGAATACAAGCAGTTGTGCTTTCATGCCATTATCAAAACTTCCCATTTCAAAAGCTACTGCTTAACGATCACTTTAATTTCAGCATTCATCTAGGGCCTGTTAATGCAGATACTCTGAACTGTTCCTTAGGTGTGGAAAATGATGACAGCACACTGCTGATTTTGTTACGTTTTAATTACACACCTAGAAATAGAAAAAATAAATTTTAATCAATGTTGGGCATCCAAATAAATAATTCATCTGCAAAATTTGTTTCACTTAATCAATTGATGCTGTTTTACTGCTGAAATAGAAATTCTATCTTGGCATCTGCAGTCACTGAAATATAGCTTCAAGTCATTGTGTTTTTCTTGGCTAGAGGCTGCCTTGATAAGCAATGTCCTATTTGCCCACAAACGCACAAGACTCAGTGCCAGTCTGCTTACTGCCATCATTTCCTTATGTATGTGTTTCTAGATATTTAATGCTTTTAAACTCAAGTACTCTCCTTATGATGTAATGATCTTTTCCTAATCATTTCTTCATATGGTATAGCCTTAATTCAAGAAGCTATGTAAATAAGATTGCAGACAGACTTCAGTGAGCGCAAGGGGCTGATGGCAATAGTTTTCCAGTAGAGGGGGTGTGGTGGACATCCTCTGGGTCTGGGTCCGAAACATCTCAAATTACTCAGCCATATTTGTCAGCTTAACACCAGCAGGTTGCTCTATAAGCTAGCTGCACTGACACCTTGCTTTGTTATGCTTCTGTGCAGCTTTTATTTCCTCCCTGTATTTAGCAGTCAAGGAGGCTGTTGCTGAAACAGGCAAGAGAGCTTTCTTACCCTGCTTCTCTAGTACTATGATCGGTGCCATTAATTCAATATATTAATGGGGGTAAATTCAATTTGATGTCACTTCAGCTGCTAGAGACATTGCAATATATCCCTTACAGAGATTAGTATTTAGGTTCTGATCACATATAACCATGCTAACATATCAGATATAATATGGCACTGAGGTAGCAATGCTGAAAAGTAGGTATGCTGATATTAAAATACTGGTTGTTGAACTCCTGTTTGTTTCAACTTGTATGTTTTGTGAAATTTGTTTGAGGGGAAGTTAATGTCAAGTACCGCACATCATTTTCAAATGTTTGCAGGTTGTTATTGATACGATTGAGCTTTGCTGGAAAGAGATTTTAGAAGTTTTCACCTGTATCTTAGCTGGGGAAGCAGAAGTTCTCATCTCAAAACCACCATTTTTTTTCTGATATTTGTTACTAAACACTCTGCTCGAAATTTTTTTCTAAAAAACCCTCCTGCCACATTGTCATGGTTGAATTCTGATTTATGTGAGTTGATACAACTACAGTCAGTTTCTTTTATTAGAATACATTACGAGATAAACAAAACTGTTATGCAGGCACTATAAGAGCTGCATAGAGATGTTGCAGCTTGTTTGGGCTTTTGAAGCCTTTTTTTTTTTCTTTCTTTTGGTTTTTTTATTCCCCCTGCACATGGAGCCTTACACGGTGTGGCTCCAGTTGCCTGTCTAGGGCCTCTACTGCCTATGACAATACGAGTAACTGTTCCTGTTGTTGTGCATATTTGTGGCACAGTTTGTGATAAAAGAAAAGTAAGAATATTTTTCTTACTTTCTTACATTCTTATAAGGAACAAGAATGTGCAAACTAAGTCAGGACTAAATATTTCTGTTGGTATGTTGACAATAGCAAGTACTGAAGGATATAATTTTGGATGTAAAAACTAAATGTCTATTTTAGCAAGTCAAAGATGAGTAGACTCTTGGATCAAATAGTACTGGATTAAATACTATCAAAGACTAAAATTTTGATGAAAACAGCAATCTGTGGACCAAAATAACCTGCAGACTGCTGTCTTCTAAAAGGCATCAAAAACGTATTTTGATATTGTACTTGCTATTTTGAAAAGTGATTGGAGTATACTACTAAATGAAAATCTTTTCTTTCTCAGTCTTTCTGTGGGTCTGTTTCTGCCTTGACAGTTGGTGTAATTAGTGTCAGTGATGATTGGTATTTCCAAGAAAATGCATCTTCCTCAGTTATTTTGTCAAGGCTTATAATCACCTGAAAACTTGCAATTCTATATTACATCATATTCTTATGCCTCTTTGCTGCATGGTTGCTGCAGAAGTAAAAATAGAATTAGTTTAATTAAAAGGTTTCCTTCTTTATAGGCATTATTAGGTATTGTTAGTAAGCAGCTGAAGTCTGCTGGAACGTGCTGGATTTTGAACTAAGATAATTGTAGAAAACCATCATGTCTCACGTATAATACTTATTACTAGCCTAATCACATTAGTGTGCTAGTCGTCTATGTTTAATTTTAGAAAAACTAACTGATGGAAGAATTTTAATTTTTCTAGTGTTCTCAAGGTCGTTAAGAAACCCTCTGCTATAGCTCACCTTTGACTGGAATGTTTAGGATTTGAACATTTTTGACAGTTCATTTGTGTAGTTAGAGTAGTCTGGTGACAAATTCTGCATATTAAGTGTTTACCAATCAGAGTATGATGAAACATACAGCTTTAACATTAAAATACAAACAACCTAAAATTTCTTAGTTAGTTTTGCTGTTTTGGCTATGTTTTTGAACACTTGTTTCATGTGCTTTGCTCTTTGCCTTAAGCCCGTATAATTCTTCCCTAGACCTCCCATGTTGTTAAATGTATGGGTAGAATGGTAGCTTCCAAGCAGGTCACTCACCCCTAAAGAAAACGCTTTCAGGTCACGTCATATAACCTGTATTATAAGAACAGCTGTGGGTAAGATTCTAAAAATGAGTATCCTTATCTTTTTACATGGGGTTTTTTGATGTTTTGTTTTGGTTTTTTTAGATGAGAGACAGAGAGTTGTCATAATATTAATACATTGGTCTCTTTTTTTTTTCTTAATAGATAAAAAAATATTTTGAACTTGAGCCACTTGCACGTGGAAAGCGCTGGATTCTTAAACCTTGCTCCTTGGATGATATGGAGGCAGTAAAAGACAGCTTCTCCCTTCTAATAAACTTGCTAGAAGAGAGAGACTTCGAACCTTCAAGAATGTGAAACGCAAGAGAGAAGAGTGGTTCTCCAGGCATCACTGTACCTGCACGTTCTGCTCACAGCTTAATTATGGTGTGGTATCAAGACTGTGCTGTGATACATTGTTCATACACAGTGCAGAATGTCCTTTTGTTAAAATAAATATTCTGTGAATCAGGTACACAACTATTTCTGGTTGTCTACACTACTGAAATAGGGAGTTCCTCTTTCTTTACCACTATTTCTGCACACTGCATGTTGCTTTCTTGCGTTGCGATCATCCTTGATAGGAAATTTTACACGCACAAAAATAACATAGTCTGTAAAGGAGGAATTCTACCTGCTACCTTGCGTTTTAAAAAATAACTAATGTCTTAAGGATTTGTGAGACTAATTTGTGTTAGCTTGTTTACTGACCCTGCAGTATGGGAAGCACAGCCACCGAGAACCTTAATAGGATACCTTAAAGGCAAGGAGTCTCATGTTAATGCAAAGGTTAGTCCTGAAGTTTTACTAAGTAAAAACACAGTTGACAAGTTAGTTGATTCTTCTTCTAAAGTCGCAGCATAACCTTGTCAAAGGCAGAACCGTTATTTTGCTGGAAGTTTCCTGAAAGGGAAATTAGCACACAAATGTGTGCGGTAGCAGTATTTGTGAAGAATAGGTGACATAAGCAGGTGGTCTAAGTAACAATATTTTTAGAAAATATACAAAAGTTGGATAAAGTAATAATTTTCATTGAAAGTAGTTTTCCATAAGAGAAGCAAGGCAAATGTCTGTTAATTCAGCTGTGAAGGCTTTATTACTAGTTAGAAGTGTGGCTGATTTTAAATAAGGATTGCTTCGTTTATCACTCACTCACGCTGTTATCGTAACATTGCCAAGGCATCTATACCATAATTAAGGGCCTTCCAGTGTTTGTACTATAAGCTTCTCTTTTCAAGGGATTATAACTTGTTCTTTCAAACTTCCTCTGGTCTAAATGTTGCTTAGAAGACAAAAAAGTATTCATTGGAAACAACATTTGTAATACATTTGGAAAAATCCCATTTGGTTCCAGTAACACAGTGCATATTTCATCTTTCCAAGTTTTCCCCATTGTAGGCTTGCAGTTTTTTGGCTGCCTTTTGTTGATTTTTTGAAACCTTATAAACTGATTTTGTCCATTAAAGAAACATGCCAGGTCACTGGTTCACCATTAAGTCAGTCACAACAGGGTATGCGCAGATCAGTCGCTGGACTGGTATACACCTTGAATGTTGTGCCTTGTGCATTCAGCTACCCTCGCGCATGAGTGTCTGCAAACACAAACTGTAGTGAATTGTCAGTGGTTCCTCATTGATTCTGCTTGTGTTTTGAAACTCGTAACTCCTTTTTTCAGGGCTTTAAGCAACATATCTTTCCACTCTGAGCATTTATTTTTTAAGTTTGAAGTTTATTGTAGTTTCTCTCTAGTTTATTTGGGAATAAGAAAATAGCAAGGATCAGCTTTTAAAGGCTTATAAAAGCCATTTCTCTATTACTTGCAATTATACTCTTTGTTAAACAAAATGTTTTTAATAGGTTTTTTGTTTACTTTTCAATTTCCATGGATTTCTTGCATTGCTCCCTCAGAATTATTTCTGCCCAAATGCATGGCCTGATGATCACTGTTTTAACTTGCTTCCCGTTATCAGAAAGAAGCTGGGAAAACTGGTAAGCTCCGTGTTTAATTTTGTGATAGAATAGGCAGAAAGCCTGAAGGGCATCTCCTCTTGCTTTGTTTTTCTTCTCTTTCCTGCCAGGTCAATCACCTCACTCCTAATACTCTTGGAAATACCCAACAACTGGAATTGTTCACTTTAAAACACAGAGAGGAGCTCTATGATGGTTTGATTCTCTCTGCGAAGTTTAGACGGGACCCAGCTGCCCATCAGTTTCTCTTGTGTGGGTTAAGGAGGCTCCTTTCCCTGGATTTAAAGAGGAAATGGATCTAATTTACAGTTCCAAACTCTCTCTTAGCTGACATGAGCTTAGACGCTACAGAGTCCCCAGATTTCCACAAGGTCCCCAGATTTCTGTCCTGTTTGGGGACAATGACAAATAAGAAGTGGTGGGGAGGAGCGAGAGAATTATTTCCCAGAGAAGGCAGGCAGTTTGGCAATGTAAAAAAGAGGGATTCAGAGCTTTTACTAGTTTTTCACTGAGCATTAGTTAGAGGATGAGAGAGAAATTGTTTTACTGTTTTTCCCCTTCTTTCCCATATTAAAGTTATGGACCAAAAGGTACAGCAAATGAAAATAAGCCCAACTGTATTGCATTCTTAAAACCATACTTATTTGTACCATCAGTGAGTCTGGTCCAAAATCTTTAGAGTTTCCGAGTTACATTTTGGTTGTGATTTCCCAACTATGCACTGTTGGAAGGTGCTACATGACTAACATGCAAAAGGCCCAGGTAGTCAATGAGCATATGGCTTTGGCGTATGCCAGTGGCCACTTAGACTAGGACCTTTTGATGCTTAATGCTTTTTCTTTAGGAAAATGCCAATTGCACAGGAGCAGTGATTTTTTTTTTTCAGAATTATTTTGAATATGCTTTTTCTTATTAATACAGTGATCATTCCTCACTACAGGTTGAAACAATACCTCATAACTGCTTAAGGCTAAGACCAATGCTTAACTTTACTTTGAATGTAGTTCTTCTGTGGTTTTGTGTTGTGGATGGACTTAATGGTTGTGTACCTTTTTAATGTCTATAAACACCTTCACTTTTTTATGGAGGAATTAAAAATGTTCTTAGCAACTCACATCACACTTCCTTTTCTAAAGTGTTGTTGAATGCTCTGGCTATGGTAGAATATGTAAGCACCATGCAGTTTTTATTCAGATGACCAATATCAATTGTTTCTTTCTTTTTTAAATCTTTTCACATGTGTTCATCATTTAGGTGAAGTAAACTTGGGCACCAGGCTCTACTTTCCATGCAAGTTCATTAAGGAGTGAACATTGTCTTTTTAAAAAAGATACTGTGCTTTAATGTTCTTTTGCCATCTGTTAAATTACTTTGTGTGTGTATGTGTGTGTAGGTGTATGTGCCCACATTGGGCTTCTTCTCAGACCTGTGGCTGTCTGCAGCGTCTCAGCCGTCAGAATGAAAACATTATCAATCAGTATCCAACAACAGCTGGTTTTGACAAGCTTCTGTCTGCTGCCTAATGCTTTACAACTTGTCAATAAGACCTCTTTGTCTACCCGCTCTGAGCTGGTAATCTTACTGCTTCCATGTTGTGTCCTGTACTTGTACTTCCAGCATTTGTATGGAAACAAAGTTAAATCTTAGTGGGTTTTGATATTCTTTCTTGCTGTATAATGCTCCATGTGTATCTTAGCTTGGCTCTTCAAATGTGCTATACAAAAATCTTTGATGTATTATTTCATTTAACTTCTTGCATTTCATTATATTTATAGAAGTTGCAGATTTTTGTACCGTATTAGTTAATACAGTTGCCTTTTTGTAATGGCAATTAATTTATATTACAAAAGTTTGTATCTGTACTGTAGTCAAAAGTATTAGTTAACTATCATATTATCTTGACTTTATACTAAAAATACAGTGTCTATACACAGAAGGTGACCCATTCAAGTGGACAACTGCTGACATGAGGAACTTGTAGTGTTTGTGATTTATACATGATTTCCACTATTAAAAAAAAAAAAGAAAGAAAGAAAATAAACACTGTGTAGAGTTGAGTTGCTAAGTTTGGTTTTCTTGAGTAGTAGCCAGTTTGGGAGTATGGCATATTACCTTGATTTCGAGTCTTCAAGATAAATTATTTACTCCTAGATGAAAACAAATATTATAGTACAATCATTGTTAAATTATACACACTTACACATTTACACCTGTATATGTGTAAAATAGAAACTTCCAAAAATTGGCTGATTTGTTTCCACAGCAAGATGTTGTTACTCTGGAAATATATCTGAAAGATATTGCAGGTTTATTGGTGGAACAGAGATTGGAATAATCTTTATACAATTATTCCATAATGTTAAACTGAGGGACATGTTTATATGACTAGAAATTATTTTTAAATAAAGTGACATGGCAAAGTACATATACTAAAAAAAAGCTACAGAAGTTGAGCAAAGGAGAATACTATGGGAAAAATAAAAGCTTGCTGAGACAACTCAATGTTATCCTGTCAAACACAGTTTGAGTAGAAGAGACTCTCACAACGCAAGCTGTAACAGCTGATGGAAGCACAGCACTGCTGAGCCGGACTGGAGTTGCTCATTCAGCTACTGAGATGTGCTTTTTTCATTTTATTATTTTTAAATCTGCCTCTTACCAAGACTAGGATGGACATGAACAATTTGTAAACTCAGAATATTTTTTTAATTCTTTTGTTTCATATAAATAGGAACTGAAAATCTGCTAATCATGCCTCATTTGATAGCTCTTGAAAGAATTTTCATTAGCTCATTAGCCCTTTGACCTAATAGTTCAAACAAATAAAAACATCTGTTTGTGTCAGCTGTAGGGTTAGTCATCCAGGGCCTAGGTTAACACAAGGATGAGCGAGAATCCCATATCCTACGTGAAAACAAAAACCATACCTTTTTCAGTATCTGCAGTTGAAAAGGACCCCTGAAATCAAGTAGGGCTGCTGAATTCTGTTACATGAAGAGACTGAAAAAGATCGTTACCCTTCTCAATCCTCAGCCTTCATGCATGAACTGACTAACTTCATTGTGTGGGTTGGACTGAAGATCAGGTCTAATTTAACTAGTTCTGAGACATTTATGCTTAATGCTAGCTGCTTATAACATATTTTAGTTTTTATCACAGCTATACTCAGAGAAGCCAAAGTATGCTGTATATATTGCTTGTCCATTCACCAGATTTCATAGGAAAATGTAATATGTGGTGTTCTGGTGGGTTTTGATGGAATATATTCAGGACAGCCTTGTTCATGGAGTGTATGTTTGTCCATCAAGCATGTTCAGCACTTCCATTTATGGTGTCTTAAATATGCCTCAATTTTTTAATCACTGAAACTTTCTCAAAAAGGCAGATATTCGAATGTGAGTATTGGTGCTAACAGCAGTCTGTGCA